AAGCATGTGGAAATGCATCTCAGAACCACCCAAAGATATTTTCTACCCATTTGTAGGAAACTTCAGATTATCAATGAAACTTCCTCGATACACTTTCGTTGCTAGTATCACTGTTTCTTTTATCCCCAGAGTTGCTGCTCTCAGCTTTATTACTTTGTTTCAAGGAAGGGGAGAAAGGAATCTTTAGAAGATCTCCAAATTAATTTCATTCACTCTCCTGTTGTGCTCTGGATATCAGAAGAGGCAAGTCAGAACTTCAAGCAGAAATTATAATATTGTCTGACATTTCCTGTATGGTTTAGTTTCAATTTGCCCTGCAGGGGACAGGTGTCACTGAAATAATTTTTGCATCACAATCTGAGCCCCGGGTGCACTTGGATAAATTGTCCAATGATTAATTATATGCTAAGGGCTTACATATATTGTAAACAGCTTGTTATTCTAGGGGTTTTCAGGCATCCAGCTGAGCTTCTGATGGTAGAAGGAGCTAATAGCTGTCCAGCCCCAAAGCCTTTTATGGATTTTAGGATTAATTATACATTGACTGTTTCCTTTTCTTTGGTCTGATCTAAGAAACAGTGATTTCAGGATGTTGTTATACTGCTGCCCTGCAGGCAAAGCTGCAACAGCCAGGTGCAAGGTGGAACAGCATCTACTGAGTAATGGTAGTATAAATTAGAAACAAAAGTGGCTGAAAATGCTAAAGTCAATATTCATTCATTGGCATCCATCAGTCTCAAAAAACTATGGTATCATGCTCTGGAAAGAGGTAAAGCTGGAGTGTCCTCTCCAGGGCACGAGGGCAGGGTAGATTAATATGGAGGATAGACTGTTATCCAAGCAGCTGATCCCCCCCCCCCTCCACGTCATTGAAATAGTCCAATGGAATAGCAGATCTGATACAATTGGTTCCAGCTGTATCGCAGGAGTTAGCTTAGGTTTAGGTTAGGTTAGGTTTATTAGGTTTATTAGATTTATATGCCGCCCTTCTCCCAAGGACTCAGGGCGGTGAGTTACCAGAACGTGGTTGTACACAATCACCAACAGCTTCCGGGACTTCGCATTTTGCCTTGAAGTTGACTCCTGAAGCCTTTTCCAGTAGTGGATATAGCCACAAGGCAGTGGAGGTTTGTAATCAGAGTTTCCCTTCTCCTAGAAGATGGTTCTGCCTCTTTATCTGCCATTGGGATGTAAGGCCCTCTTCTGCCTTCAAAACCCTTGACCGTCTTCTCCCGTAACCCTGGAAAGGGGCCCTTACGAGGGGCTGCCAGCTGGA